TCTGGGTGTTTCAACTTGGCAACCAGACAAGCTTTGGTGTTGAAATTTTGCCAGTGGATTGGTTCCCAGGCCAAGCGCTATCCCGAGGACGTGACACCAACTTTCACGCACTCCTGACTCCCACGTACGAGCACGTGAAAACTTTGGTGGGGAAATTGCTGGTTTGATAACCAGAAAAGCTGAAAGGCTGAAATTTTAAGGGAATATTTTATGCCCACGTACAACTTAAAGATTTCAAATCCAGTTCCCGAGTACATTTGGTTTTTACGTACGGATGCATGAAATTTAGCGCATTAGAATTGTCAGTTCGGGAACATGGGTCATTCTCAGTGAATGTCCGCTCTCTGGCTATCGTTCATTGTATTACAGGAAGGATTTAGCGTACTTGCTTTCACTGAGCATACAGGAGGATAAACCAAGGCTATTTACAGGATCCTACGAATTCAGTAACACCCAGGAAGGGCAATTATTATCATCGATCATCTTCCTTACCAGCTTCTCTTTCTCCTATTTTCGTACGCTAAGGAGATCTTTCTCACTGACACACCACGACCGAATAAAAACCACTTCCTCTCGCTCGTGCTTTCTTCCCGCCCTAGACTCAATCTCGTCCTGGAACCTCTCTCGCTTTAAAAGCTGCGGTTTTGTAGTTGAGAAAGCTATCGAAGTTTTCCTCAAGCATACGATTTTCTATTTGAAACAGCTGTGAAGTTTCCCTCAAGCATAGCCTCTGAACGGATATCTAATTTTGGCATGTTTTACTCCCATAGTGTCCTGAATCTTACTTGTAATCAGTCTATAGGCTTTTTCCAGGTAATTGTAATTTGAGTAGTGCTTCATGGCCACAGTATTCCAGGCTTTAGTTTCTTATCACTCATACTTATGCCCTGACCAAGAATTCTCTTTCCTATTCTTCGGATTCTTCGAATCACCGTGACCTGTTAGCCGTGAAACAGCCACACTTTTGTCGCTTATGAACTAGAGCCTTTAGATTTGCTGCTCTGTTACTTGTACTACTTCAGTTGTCTATGGAATTGTACAAGTTGATGAAAAGTGAAAATTATTAAAATTTTCATCAGACGGTCCTCCAATGACAGTATCTTTTTGGTTGTTTTTCCTGTGCATGTACATTTTAAAGATATTTGGCGCCAGGAGAGGGCCGGTTGTTTACCGACCCTCTCTTCGCGCCAAGTATCTCTCCCCCTTTACCCTACCCTCATCCCCAGATATCCCTTATGCCTCTGTCTGCTGTTTGCGAAATATCCCTTGGCGGGAAATGACGTCGGCTCTCTTCCCGCCAAGAGATATTTCGTAAATAGCACAAAATACTGCCTGTGAGAGGGGGCGTCCAATCGGGGGACCGTCCTTTCTGCGCGTTTCTGCGCATTTTTGAAAATATGAAAATGCATATATCCCAAAAAACATGAAATCAATTTTCATGTATCTCTGAGTCTCACGCACGAACATGTGAAAATTTTGACAGGAAATTACTAACTCGGGAACCAGAAAAGCTGAAAAGCCAAAATTCAGCCGGTGCCATTTTCCACTTGCAGGCAGAAAAAGACCAAAAATCAATGGCAGCATGAATGCATGTGCTAAACCGTAAAGCAACAACAATTAACGATTTGATTGTTTCAAATTTAGCGCAAAAATGTGTAATTGCACCGGCAAACTTGGTGCATCCATGCCTAAGTTTAATTTGTGCAGAACATTAAATTATAGCTCATTTATTACTTTAGGCTATTTTGAAACCAAGATCCTCAAAAGAGAGGCTCTGAGAATCAGCTGCACTTGGACCGTTAACAGTATTACTCACAGCCTTATAAATGATTCGATTTCGCCAGTGAAAAACCCGTTCTTCTAGGATTTTTCAATTTTGATGTGAAATTCATCCCCTGCCGTTTATCGGGAGTCAAGGTCACCACTGCCACTTGTAAACAGGCACTGGAAACTAGTACAGCTTTTCCGGCTTGTGGTTGCTGTTGGCATCTGTTACTATTCAGAAAAGTTCTCGAGTACACCTATGCCTCTCCGAGCGATCAAATAGGCGGCATTTAGAGATACATTTGCTCGAATTTGAGAATGAGAAATTTTTTTCGGGCTATTGAACTGCCTTACTGACAACCGGATGTTAAATATAAGGGAGTGATGCTCACGAGAAAGCAAACGACCACTTGGGCAAGCTTAAAAGAGATAGTTTATAAACAGCATGCAGGCGGTTTACTGCTGGAAGTATGCAGTCCAAAATCGAGGGGCCTGGAATAATTGTATTTTTGAAAGCAACAAAACGAGCATGGGATCCACATGCCAACTGTCTGACTAGTCTTTGTATTCTTGGCATTTCTTCGCGATATTTCCCAATCAGAATGTAATTTTAGGGTAGGTTCTGTGAGAGGAGATGTCCGAAAGGGTATTTTGGAGTAAACTGTGCATCAAAATGCATGTGCTACAATGAGAATGAATGCAATCCGGAAACTGGAGAATGCGAATGTGTTGGTTTCACTGGAGAACACTGTGATGAACCCTGCCCGCGGGGCACATTTGGCAAAGGGGTGAGCTTTTTGTTCAGATATTTTCGTTTCAAAAAATGACAAATTATGAGGTTTTACTTGACCTGAGGTGGAGGTTTTTTTCAACTTTTTAAAAAATTTTTGCATTTCAGTGCGCAGAAAAGTGTGATTGCGAGCAAGAGGCCTACTGCCATCCGACTAATGGCACGTGCATTTGCCCTGAGGGCTTCAAAGGAGAACACTGCGATCAGAAGAGTAAGTCCTAGTCCGTTTCTTCCGCTGAGATGAGTTTTACAGCAGGAAACATGCAAATATTCATACGAATCTGAGGGGTCCCTAGATTCTGCCAGCAAAGTTCGAAGGCACTG